CGAGGATAGCTGCTGGCAGTTGGTGCTATTATAATACCTTGCTACTAGATAATGGATAAAAGCTTGTTTGTCTACAACAAGGGGGTCAAAGATCCAGCAAGCAGAGCAGTATCATCAAGCCTGCAGTGCTGCCTCTACATGCAGCATTTGCTGGCTCTGGCCCTAATCACTGCATACAGTGCATGGAGCCTATTTGATGTTGGCTGTACATGGCACAGAGCCAGTCTGGGGCATGAGCTGCATGCAGCACCTGCATTGGACTGGCCCTGCAAGCTGGATCCAGGGACAATCTGGCTAAGGTCCAGAGACCAGCCCTGCATCCCAGATCCAGTCACAGGGCTGGTTCAAAGCAAATGCCACATGCAGTGCACATCCCATACCACTGCTGCACGCTGTGTGTAGCACAAACTCCAGACCGGCCCCAAGCACTGTCACGCACAAGGCCGGGGCCAACATTCACTACATATGGCATGCAAGGCTGCAGCTGGTGCACATGCTGCAAATACTATGCACAGGCCAGTCCAGGGTATATGCTGTATGTGGCCCCTGCACCGGTGTGGCCCTGCAAACTGGATTCAGCACGTGGGAGGCTCAACTTTGTCTGCAGACTGGCCTCATGCCCCTCAGGCCAGATGATTTTGATGTCTTTGGTTTACAGCAAATGTCTACCCTGGGATAACTGTGGACACACAACACTTGTACTAGTGTTGTGTAACTCTTGATATTTCCTATAGCATTGCTACAGAAGGTTTATGCAAATTATACCGATATGGAGGGTTATGTCATCTGTCCAGTTCTTATTTACACTGGTATATATCCATCACATATTCAAATCTTTCTCTCCTCCTCTTGTGATCTTTGGTTAATTAGAAACTGTTATAAAAAAAATTGTGCCCTGATATTTCTTTCAAAGCCCAAAGTTATTTTTTTCAGTAGTACAGCACAGATTTGTAGTAGTATATAAACAATAGTGATTATTCTTCCTATCATATGCAGTGCTCAGTTGCCAGCTATATTTATAAATACATTAAAACCATGTCAAATGTGCATCATTCCTGAGACACCTGGCAGAAACTGAGTAAGTGTAACTGAAGCCCTTCTGTTCTCCATCTACCCCTATAGCTCCATATGGTTACAAGCAGCTACTTCAGGGATAGCCAGCCCAAGAATGTTGAAGGGATGAAAAGGCAATAAACTGAATGGCTTCTTTCAGTAGAACTTGCCACATCCAAGAACAGGGACCTAGAGAACGTTTCTCAGACAGTTGCTTGCAGCATGCTCTTTCTTCCACTAACTATAACAGGCCATCCAACTTGATCTCCTTCAGGCTATATGTAACTTCCCCTCTTGTCTACCCTGTTGGTCAGCTTTAACAGAAGGGCTGATGAGCAGCACTTTTGGATTGCTTAGCCAACTGCCTGGTGATTAATGCACTTTGCTGGGAAGTGGCAGACATGGATTCAAAGACCACTGATGGGGGAGAGGTTAAAATGTGGGTTTCCTACTCCTTAGACCTTTAACCTAAGTAAGTGTTAGTAACCTAAAGCCTGTGGGTCATTTGATCCAGCCCACAGATATGGGGCTTCAATGGCATTTGGCAGCAGGGGAGCTTCAGCTGTGGCATGCTACGGTGGGAAGAAATGGCAGCAGCCAGGTCCTACCATCCTCCCACCTCTAACCTGAGCTGGATCATTCTGGCCTGCAACCTGAAAAGGTTGTTAACTACTGGCTAGACTACTGGGCTAAATAATGGGGGTTCCTCACCTTTGTGTTCCTCTGACCAAATTCCTGGGGATTTACAGACTTAAATACCTTCCCAGATGGAATAGCACTGCCACAAAACCTAAGTGGCAGTAGTCCATTTCTTTTGAGCATGCCTGGAAGGGCAAGACTAGCTGCACAAGTGGAAACAGAATCTAAAATAGTAAGTTTACAAGAAACAAAGTGCCTCTCACATATCCATATTTAGACCTGATAAGTCATACTTAAATGACAGTCAAAACAGGATTTGGGCCTTAGAGTAAAAAGTGAACGTAAAGTGAATGCAAAAGAGTGACAGAGCTTGTTTAAAGGTGCAAAGCGACTTTATTAGGGCTAATAAAGTAAGAGACAAAAAGACTTGGAGGGCATGGAATGAGATAATATCTTTCGCTTGCTTTTACATTTCAAGAAAAAGAATTTGCGCAGTGATCGAGATGCATAATCGTATCAAATGTATTTCAAATTTCCAGCCTTGTATATTCTTTATTCATGCTAATCTCAAATCCTTTGTACTCAACAGAATCCCCATAGATATGACTATCTGAGAAAGCAGCACAAGAGAGGGATGAAATACATTAATGCATGAAAGGACTAAATGCTCTCCATTCAAAAAAAATTGAAAAATTGAAGGAAAAAGGTCAAGACTACAAATGCTTCCATGAAATGCCCTGATTAATCAAGCATCTTAAGTAATACAGAGACCATTTCAAGGAATAATCATCGTGCAAAATGAATTAGAATAAAAAAAGCAGGGTCAAAAACTGATGTTATGATAAAAGATCATGATACCTTTCTCAGACGGCATTTTCAGGTTAGAAAATGCGTAGAGATTTAGTGAAATAATGCAGATGGGTGAAATTTCAGAAGCAGTTGGCTTTACCATGAGACAGCAATTTAGAACAATGGGTTGCCTGTCAACTCTCTGTATTCACTTGGTTTTAGAAAGTGTCTAGTACCGCCTATTATGAAGGCACCTCGAGCTGATCCTTAACACCACATATCAACAAACGCGAGCCAGACAGATTAGCTAAAAGCACCATCTGTTCATTAATACATATAACCAAGTCTAACAAATTCACCATAAAAACCTCTGGGATTTTCCTCCTTTGTTCATATTTTGCCTTTGGCTGGGAAACACAAATAAAGTTTTCAACTATGGTACGACTAGCACAACTGCTCAGAGTTCCAGTCAGCTTCCTTTATCCTAATTTAATCGGCACAGAATTCCACGGCAAGCAAATATCAGGTGATATCATCTTGGTCCTTCCCACCAGCATTGTCACCATGCAAGTGTGCTGTCACCTTAACAATCCTGGATGTTCCAAGAACAACTTCCAAGCTTAAGGTTCCAGCTGACTGAAGAACTTCACTAAACTGACTAACTTATTATTTGAAACAAAGTGCAAAACAGAAAAATGATTAGCAGCACCATGGCTGAAGGCAGTAGCATACGTAGGGGAGGAGAAACAGGGCACCAGCCCTGCGTGCTGTTTAACAGGGAGAGGTGCAAAAATAGTGACAGCCCCCACCACAGGCTCAGTCATTGCTGCTGACCACTGCTACCTGTGGAGCAGAAACTAATTGTTATGCCCATGGATTATACAGAATGTCCTTTCAGGGCAGTTTAACACAATTGCCATTAATTAATTTCTGTTCATTCCCATTAGTTGTTTCCAGTACAGTCCAATGGCACCTCTTTCCAATACCATTGTGGTTGTTACTTTTAGGCACAAATACTCCATGCAATCTACCATAAAATAGAATTATACTTAAAAATTATTTCCTTATTATGGTATTTACCCAAATCCAAGATAACCTTCCAATAATCTGATGGAAAATGGAAAATTTGATACATAGTAAATTTACAAATGTGTTATAATTTCCACATAATCTAATTATTGAAGGATCATCTTAAATTCATCCCCACTGCCACTGCAGCATGGAAAGCAGCGGTAAATGAGGAGGTGAGGGGGGACAGGTGGTAGGAGAGGCAGTAAGTGGTGGGGAAGCATGTAGTAGGGCAGGCGACAGGGCAAACAGGGTGAGGAGGTGGGGGTATGGGTAAGCAGGGGGGCGGGGCAGGCCACTTGCCCCCTACCACCTGTCCCCCCCATTTACTTCCTCCTTGTGTTTGTCCCACCACAGCCTCTGCCTCCCTGAAACCTAGGGTCGCTGAACCCCATTCCCCCGCCCTCCTTCCTTCCCCTCCTCCTCTATCCCGTGTTGTTTCTGCCTGCCCACAGCCTCGGACCCCTCCCTTGTTCCCCTGTCTCCACCCCCACCTCTGCCTTCCCTCTCTTACAACCCCCGCCTTCGCCTCTTACCTTTGTTTCAGCACTGGCAAGCTCTGCCCCTGTTCTAGCCTGGGACACAGAGCACAGCCCCAGCCCAGCTCTGCAGTGGAAGCACGGAGCTGGCACCACTGCTATGGGTCTGAGCAGGGGCCAAGCTCTTAGCCCCAGGCTGGAGCAGGGATGGAGTCTGCCAGTGCAAAGGTAAGTGAGGAGGGGTGCATTCAGCCCCACCCCCCCGAGACTGCAGTGGGGCAGAAACGGCATGGGAGGTGGGGTGAGAGCAGGGGGTGCAGAGGTGGGGGAGGGCAGGAGAGGAGGGATAGGCAGCTGCTCCAGGTCCAGCCTTGATCCAAGGCTGGGGGCACAGACAGAGCTGCAGAAGCTGCCTGTCCTCCCCCCCGCTTCATACTCAATTCCAAGATGAGGCTCTTTCCCCCCCCCATGTTAAAATGAGGAAAAACCCTCATCTTGGAATCAAGTAAATACAATAGGTGGAATTTACATTTTTATTATCCTCTGTATGCTATGACCTACATATATCAGGCTTTAGCCACTCGCAAAGCTCCTCTTCATTCTAGTTGGAGGAGATCTTCTTTTGTACACACTTTATATTTCATAAAGTGAAAATGTTTGACATAAAGTTGTTTGACATAAAGTGAATACTAGTGCGTCAAGTAGTCCTTTTATGCCAGTCTTCAGAACAGACATATGGCAAACACAAAAAAATTATTTTTCATTTGTCACCTGAAATGGTGGAAAAAGTTTTAAAAGCACTGCTTGATTTGCCAACTTTCCTGTACTTGATTAAAAGGAAGACTTACAGGGCACAAGTAATTTAGTGATATCTGCTTAAGGAGATTAAAGAACATTTCTCATTAGATTTTTTCCTAAAACCATGATAACAGGCCTTTCTACAGTGGCACGTCCAAGAATTTGTTTTCTCACCTGAAGTCCAACGTTGTCTGCTTGTCCACCTTTAACTAACTGAGAGATAAAGAGTCCACAGGTAAATTCCAGTCCTCCTCGCACACTTATTCCAAGCCCTTCAGGATGCAAACGATCCAGTCTCACTTCCTTCAGCTTTCTGCAAAAGTGGAATTTTTCATAGCATTGAACTGAATAATAAGTTGTGACAAGTGAATTTTCATTTTTATTGTTTAAGTATTTTTCACTCATCATACTTGGATTTGAGAAAGAAAAAACTACTAAAGCTACAGTTGGATAGTGTGGCCAAACAAACCAGTTGTTATGGAGTAACTTAATCCAATTTTTTTCTGCAGTAATTTTACCCCATTGTAAGAAGTGTACACATGACTAACTTTCCAAAGCTAGTTTCCTTCCATAGATGTTATTACAACATTTTAGCACTAAATAGAGAACCAATTTGCATGGAGGAAAGGGTTAACTCCAGATGAAACTGCTGAAAGGAGAGAATACACAAAATGTACAACTTAATAACCATATCTAGGAGTCACTTGCTAGAATTTTTTTGGTGGTAACTTTACTCCAGAGAAGAAAGAGCTACTGGTAGCATCTACAGGAGATGCTGACTGCATAGTCGTTACTGCACAGTCATTTAGTACTTGTATAAGTAAGTACTAAATGACTGTGCAGTAACCCCAGTTACTGCACAGTAGCACTGACAAATGGCTTTTTTGTGACGCTGACTGCGCAGCAGCCCGAGACTGTGCAGAAGCATCGTGACTCAGTTTCTGCTATGAGACGCTACTATACAGTAGGCTCTGTATTAATGCTGTGTGATGTGTCTACTTCACTTTTACTGCAAAATAGTCCATTTACTCCACAGTAAGTTTCCTATGTGTCCATTCCCTAGAGTTTATTCCCTAAAAGAATATCTAGGGCAATGTTAGTTGTTTGCAATGGCACACATATGACTAGACCTGTGTGACTGACTTGCTTTTTCAGTTTGCTAGCTGACTGAAATATTTTGTTTTATAGGAACAAAGCATTGTGGCCTCGTATTTATTTTACTGTCTTTTGCTATTTAGAATTCAAAACTGAAAATAAAATTGTTATTCTACAATAAAAAAATTAAACACTTCTTCTATTGTTTTCCCCCTTTACAACTATTTTGTAAAATGTGATGAATAATTTCAGTCAAACCAAAACTGCAGTTCTTGGCAAATAAAATACTGACAACTAAAATATTGATCCCAGTTTTATACTGAATATAAATATTTATATTCCTCCAAACAACTGAATCAATTACATATCAATAAGCAATTCTTGGTCTGTGTTCACAAGAAATGATCTGTTATATTCTCAACTTCCTTACCTTGACCGTTTTGGTGTTAACTGATCATATTCCACCTGGTGTTTTAATGGGATAAGAGGACGGATGGCATCAAAAAGAGGCAATCTACTTGGTTCATTTATCACAAGCTTTAGGTCTCCCACCAGCACTGGAAGATCCATGGATCTAAAAAATACATCAAAAGCACAGGACTGGGTGAATAATACACTCACTAAAATGATGTTTTGTTTGTAACTTATACACACTAGTATAGAAACCAGTTCTATTGCATATGTGACTTGATAAAAACATTTTTAATGTAGACCAGAGACAAGTGAGGTACAGTAGTTATCATCTCTATGTCTAACCTGTCTACTGGGTTTTGGTAACTGCCTGAAATTCTTCCCACATTTGAAAAACTTCTGAGTAAATCTGGGCCAGGTTTTGAGTAAATGTCTTCATTTTCCTGGATTCAGAGGACAGATTTATAGTTTTGATCCAAAAAGACACATGCTGCTCCAAGTTAGAGCTAGATTTTGTTTGAATTTTCTGGCTCATTTCAACTTATGCTGCAAAGTGAAATTTTAAAAGATGATAAACCATATAAACCAAAATTATAATGAAACTGAAACCAGTGTGAATGGACACTGGTGATTTTCATGCCTAACAGTTCTTGATACTGCTTTTATCAACTCTGGGATATATTTATGGGGCCACATTGTGTTTTTTGACTTATGAGTCTAAATCTAGAATGATTCCGTTAGTGTAAAAGAAATTACTTTAGTGCAACAGGCAGCAGAATTTGTACCATAGTATTTGCCTGTTCCTTGTAAGGTGCTTGTCATCACAGCATTTAGGTTTCCTGGCATTTTACTTTTCTTTACTTGTAGCCAGTTAACATTAACAGAAATTAAATACACCTCAAAATGAGGTCAGATCCCCAAATATTCAAACCAACTTGAAAATGGTATTTACAATTTAACGGATTTTAACTTCTGGCTATGACATGGGTTTTTTCCCCTAAAAAATTCTCTCTTTTTTATTATGATCAGTCAGTAAACCTCAGTAGCAATGTCTGATAATTTATTTAAAATGCAGAACAACTTCTGAACTTGAGGGAAAAGTTAATGTTTGAGGTATCTGTTAATTTTGTGACTGTAGGAAAATTTTAAATAATTAACAACCACTGATTCCTCCCGATTTCACAAGTAACAGGCAAAGCTTTATGAATGGAGAAGCAATTAGGTCTGAGTGAAATCCTATCAGATATGCAGCTGAGTGCATACAAAACTATATCTCAGTACAAAGACCACATGGAAGGGTCTCCATTTCACTTCACTTAGATGCTATTAATTAAGATATGAACAGAAACAATGTCTAGAGTCACCTGTCTATGAAGAGTGGAAAAAATATTCTCATCTTCCTTAAGAAACAGTAGCTCAGATTCTGTCCACCACTTCACCAGTATAAATCCAATGTCTCACCATTGATTAACATCAAAACCCATGGAACTGGTACCTGGCCTAACATCTCACCACTGATATTTTTGCCATAATGTCATAAAATGCTGGAATGTGCAAGGCAGATTTCCATTCAAATGCATTAAGTGCCTTTCTACTGTGACAGTTTAAAATACAATATTTACCCAAATCCAAGACAACTTTGAATTTAAGATGACCCCCAATAATTAGATTCCATACATGGAAAATTATGTTTATTATAATAAAATAATTATTATAAATAAACTTATGATATTCCACATATGAAGTCTAATTACTGGAAGGCTGTATTCAATTTCTCCACCCCTATCTGCTAGAGTGGGGAAAACAGTGGTGGTAGGGACCATGCCTGTGCTTGTGCCTGTGCCTGCCCCCTCCATTTTCCCCCCACCGCCTGCCTACCCTACCCCTTGCCCCCCAGTGCCTGTCCCTGGTCCCCTACCATCTGTCCCCATTTCCCTTCCTCCTCCTGTTTCTGTGCCTGTCCCTGTGCAACCTGTCCCCCGCCATCTACTCCCCTGCCCCCACCACTTACCTTCTGCGCAGTTCTTGGTCCAGTTCTGGCTCCAGCTTGTAGGCAGTGAGCAGTGGTAGCCCTGGCCTTGGCCCTAGCCCAGCCCACTAGGCAGAAGCAGTGGTGGCAGCACCCAGGCCCAGCCGAGCCAAAGGTAAGTGGCAGGGGGGGGGGAGGGTGG